GTCCCCAAGGCCACCATTGACCCATGTCCCCAAGTGGCACATCCATGTCCTAAAGTGGCACATCCACGTCCCCAAGGCCACCACTGATCCATGTCCCCAAGGCCACCATTGATCCATGTCCCAAAATGCCACATCCATGTCCCCAAGGCCACCATTGATCCATGTCCCAAAATGCCACATCCATGTCCTCAAGGCCACCACTGATTCATGTCCCCAACTGCCACATCCATGTCCTCAAGGCCACATCCATGTCCCCAAGGCCACCACTGATCCACGTCCCAAAGTGACACATCCATGTCCCCAAGTGCCACCATTGATCCATGACCCCAGGTGCCACATCCATGTCCCCAAGGCCACCATTGATCCATGTCCCCAGGTGCCACATCCATGTCCCCAAGGGCCAGCACTGATCCATGTCCCCAAGTGCCACATCCACGTGGATTTTAAATCCCTTCAGGGATGGGGACTGCCCATTCAGTTTTTCCTTGTCTCCCATGCAAACTTCCCCTGGCACAAATTGAAGTCGTTTCCCTTTGTTACTCAGGGAATAAAACACCCTCCTGTCAGGAATTTCCAATTCACCCTGCAGTGGAAAACCAGGAAGACAAAATTCCAGCCAATCCCTGCTCATCAGATGCTCCTTCCTCTGCTCCTCATGATCCAAATGTCCTTCCTCACTTTGGAAAATCACAGTTTTTATTTGCAATGACTGGAACCGCCAGCCACAGGTGAGAATTCCCAAAGAAAATCAGGAAAAAACACATTCCACAAAGCTGGGCAGGAAATTGTCACCAGTGGGGATTAAAATGTCACTCGACCCAGGAAATCCCTCATTTGTGTCCAGGGATGTGGCCTTTGGATATCCTGGCACATCCCTTTGGAGCTGGAGAGCAGGGACAGCCCAGCCCCTGGAGCCTGGATAAAATCTGGGAAAAGGTCCCCAACGTGATCCTGCTCCAAACTTTGCAGGATTTTATCCAAAAAAATCAAACCAACTTCTGACAGCCACAATTTATGGAAAAGGAAAGGGCTGCACTCACCTCACCTGAGTGGGGATAAAGTGTTTTCAAAATTCCAGCCAGGAAAATAATTTCTATGGCAATTAATGGTGCATTCCAAAGCTGGGTGTGAGAAGGTGGGAAATCAGGAATAACCAATAATAATCACATGGAACATCTCAAAATCACTCCATGGATAACCAGCAGATATTCAGGGATGTGTTGGAGTGCTCAGAGTCTTATATTTAAATATATTTAATTGGGAGTGAGGTGAATTTTTGGGATCAACAGAGCAATTATTTACAATTCTCCTTCTTTCTAATAATTCCCACATCCTTATATTATTCCTCCCAAAAAATCTCACTGATGCTGAGAAGACTCCATGAAAATTTAGAGGAGAAATTCCCGAAAATTTCCAGCAATTGGAAAGTGCAGCCACCACTCTGAACACAGGAATTTCCCTGCCTGGAAATAATCCCAGGGAAAAATTTGGGGCACGTGGTGGGAAAGGCAGCAAAGAGAGCTGAAAAAAATGGGAAGATTTGATAAATCTGAAGATTTTTATTCAAAGGGAGCCCCCCCAGAGGGGAGACACTGAAAGGATGACTTGGAGCAGATCAGAGACATCCCCGAGTCATCAGATCCCAAAGAACCACATCCATTGATCCCAAAATTAAAAGAACAAATGTTGGAAAGACAAAAAAGGGATAAATGTGTGCTTTGGTATAGCAGGAAAGAGGAGTGATAGGAGAGAAGGGGAAAAAAAATGGAATTTTTTCTCATTAATTCATTTCTCCTCCCAGACCCATCACGGGCAGCCTCAAATCCTACAGATTAAAAATCCTTGGGAATGTTCAAGGCTTGGAGTGGGAAATATCCCTCCCCATGGCAAGAGTTTGATTTTTAATCTCCTTTTAAACCCAAACCATTCCACAATTCTGGGATTTTACAAATTCCCAAACCAAGGTTGTTTAATTATTTCAGCCTTTAAACTAAAAGGAATTTTCACACCAAGAATAACTGGAAAAAAATTTGAGAAACGTGGAAGTGTGAAAGCATTCTAGGAATGCACAATTCCATATTTTATAACCTCATTGCCCAGCATCTGATGGAAAACAATTTCCATGCAATTTGCAACCCAGATCTGAGAGCATCCTGTGGAAAAATCAGGGAAAAATTGGAATACTGGAAACACCGACCCTAAACCAGCACAAAATAAACTTCTACTAATTTAGCTTTAAATCTTCTCCTTAAATTGGGAACAATCATGGAATAAACAGCAGAGAAACCACAAACCCCTCCTTCCTGGAGGAGCTCACATTGAAATATTCCAGAGAATTCCCTGCTCACAGTTCCTGCCAATTCCAACAGCTAAGGGTTTAATTCATCACCTTGGAAAGAAAATCCCTGGTGATTATCCTAATTAAAAATAACTGATTAACGAGGTGCCCTGGCCCAAGGGGGTCACGCCAGTGAGGTGCAGCACGAGTTGCCAACAGTAAAAATAAAATAAGGTTAGAGCTGGAAAAAGCTGATTTATTGCCAGTTAATTCTGGTTTATCCAGCTGCAGCACTGGGGGTTCCATGACATCACAGATCCAGGTGATTCCCTTTGTCCAAAAGCTTGAACTGCTCCAGCTGTTCCCTCTTCCAGAGGTGCAGCTGGATCTCTATGGACTGGGATGTGAAGATCCCACATAACAGGACAACTTTAGGGATTTTTACCCAACAATTGTCACCCTTATCATTCTTTTCCTTCTCTTTTACCAGCCTCCACAGAAATCAAACAAGATTTTAAAGCACAACATTGCTGATTTTAACAAATCCCTCCCCCCCAAAAAAAAACCTCATCATCATCCCTGCTGTTCCTCTGGAACACCCAACAGCCGCCACGGATCCCCCCCAGCTGGATCCTGTAGGATCCTGCCCACCATGCACAGCTTGAAATGAAGGTGAACCCAACCTGTGGAGGGTGGGGACAGGTGAGGTGGGCAGGGACTCACCTGTGGCCGGGGGTGGCCGGTGACCAGGCAGGTGAGCTCCAGGGTCTCTCCCTCGCGGATGGTGTAGACCCTCTCGGAGTAACGCTCCTCCTCGATGTTGCAGGCCAGGCCTGAGTGCACGATCCTCACCGTGGGGGG